TTAGATTGAACATTATTCAATATTGGTAATGAACAAGTACTAAAGTTTAAATCAAGCAAACAACTTTTGATATGATAAATTACCAGTATTATATAAAACAGTTTTTTCATCAAATACCCCTGAGTTTTTTGTTAATTCACCATATACCCATGAAAATTTTAAAATTCGCCATATACCCCTAACTTATTACAAAAATTCACTATATACCCCTAATGAAAATAAAATGAGTGGAATTTGGTTAATTATACCTCGAAACCACCTTAGATCTCTCCCCCCTCACCCCCAAAATCACTCCTCTTCTTTTTCCAACCCCCTAAACCACTCCAAATCTCCATAATCATATTTGTATGATTGATTTTGAGGATGAGAAAAGTAAATTTAGGGTGGTTTGGGGGTGGGAAAAAGGAATGTGGGTAGTTTTGGAGGTAAGGGAATGTATTTAGGATGGTTTCGGTTCATAATTATTAGCTTTAATGATTGACAAAATTAAAAATCATTAGTCATCAAGGGTATATGGTGTATCTTTGTAAAAACTCGGGGGTATATGATGAATTTACAAAAGTTCAGGGGTGTATGGTAAATAAACAAATAACTCAGGGGTATATGGTGAAAAACGCGTTAAAAAAATTAATGAACATTTTTCAATATATAGGAGAATGAACAAGTATTAAATTTCAAATGAACATATATTTTATTTAACGTAAAGAGAATAATGAACATGTAACAAATTTAAGTGAACATATATTTATATGAAATGTGAATGCAATAATATTATTACAGATTACTAGAGCTATATATATATATATATATATATATATATATATATATATATATATATATTATTTTGTCTTAAAATTTAGTAATTCTAATTTGAATATTTATCCTTCTAAAAATGAACATGAAATCAAACTAAAATGAACATTTATAATAAATTAAATTACAAACCAATTTTCACTAAAGAACATTTTAATTAGAAATAATAATAATAATAATAATTGAAAATCGATGTTTGATTTCCATAAGTTAAATTTATAATTTGTCTATAACTTCATAATTATTATTTAAATGATATTTCTTCTACTTTTGTGCATGAATTCTATTTGAATTGTACATTTACAATAGTTAAAATTGACTTTCCAAAATTCACCAAATTATAGTTTTAATTAATAGATAATATTAATTGATAATTGATGCTTCAATTTCATAATGAAACATGATAATGTGTCTTTAAAACTAGTACTCGTAATATAATTTGAACATTAATCCTTCCATAAATGAACATGAAGTTCATCTAAAATGAACATTTATCATAGATTTAATTTATTAGCTTCTCTAGTCTCTTAATAATATCTTGAATAGGCATCTACTAGTGGATGAGCAAGACTTTGATATGAACATCAAATTTTTTTAAAAAATTTGTCATTTTTTTTTAGATAAACTTCAATAAATTTTCACATCGAATTACCTCAAAAAGAACATTAACTAATCTTTAAATGAACATCATATTTATACGATTTAAATTCAATTTGAAAAATTACGTAAAAATTGTATAAAATGAAGAAAAATATTTTGTAAAAACCTTATGTTATGCTTAAAATAAAAATATATAAAAAAAAAACTTAATGGAATCCATTTATTGAATAAATCAGAATATAAATGTATAACTGTACCATAACATTTTAGCTTCTCTCCCTCCAAAAGAATTTGACAACAACCCTCCATTTTTACTCTCCTTTAAGTATTGCACCTTGAAATGTAAGTATGAGTAAAGAGATAATAAATACAAAAAAACAAACACCAAAATCTAATTAAAATAAACTAAAAAAAACACTAAAAGTAAAAATGTGAAACAAGGGGATGTTCTTTGGCAACTGAAGACCTTAACCACCCTCTATCTATGCTAATTTTCTCTTATATTAAACGTTATTCTTGATTATTGTAGAGAGTTTCATTTTTTTTTAGAAAATTTTGATGACAGAGAAAATAAATAGATATTTCTGATATTAGGAGAGAGAAAGTGATGTTTATTTTTCATTTTTTGGTTTCTGACTCTAGTTTATATAGTGCATAGTTACTAGGAGTATGATTAGTGGGGGTGTGAATATTAATCTAAGTGTGTCATTTTATTGGAGGGTGTAGGGAGTAGTAGCTGCTGCAAGGTGTAGCTATAAATAACTATTATCAAAGAGAATTTCCCGAAAATAAAAGGAAGGATTGCTTTTGTTAACATGTTTTCTATGGGTAAAACGATGTCGTTTCCTTTAATAATACTCTAAATATATATTTTAAAAAATACTTCCTCAGTTCTTTTTTTAGTACACCATATAAGGGGATTCACGCTTGCCAATGCAATACTTTCGCTATTAATATCTTTAATTATACATTTATAAAAAATATAAAAAATGGATATTTGAAAAGTAGATTTTGAGACGACTTTAACTAGATCCCATATGAATATGTTTTTCATAATGGATAAATCACAAAAGATGATTAAAGAACATTTGAATAAGTCCTTATGGTGCAATAAAAGAAAAACTGAGGAAGTATAAAAAATCAAGCAAATTTGTAAAAAAAAATCTTTTTGCGAAAAAAAAAAACCTTTTAAAAACTTTTTGGTTAAAAAAAAAAACTAACACGTTCAATTTTTTTTTTTTTTTTTTTTTTTTTTTTTTGCGAGAGGAAACCTATTCCCCTAATTACCATCTAATTAACTTTTTTTTTATGGAAGCCATCTAATTAACTTAATTAAACTCTAAATTCTTCTAATTAACCTCTAACCACCAAATTAATAAACAATTAGATTTAATTAATATATATAAAAAAATCACCACCCCCTCCTTACTTCTCCCTTCCTCCCTCCCCTTACTCCTCCTTCCTCCTCCCATGGAATCAACCCCTCCCCCACCGGACCCGCTATCCGGATCCATGGGCGGACCCACGTGAGTACAAGTGGGGACCATTGTCCCCCCACTTTAAAAAAAAATCAGAGAATTTTTTTTAAAAAAAAATCAATCAGCAAAAAGTACAACACATGGGTTAAGAAAGAAGGAAAGAAAAAAAAGGAGGAAAAAAAAGGAGGAAAGAGAAAAGTTTGAATATTGAAAAACCTAAGAGAGAGAGAGAGTAGATCTTGCAACACCAAGGCATCGACCACCGCACCATCGAGCTGGCAGCGACTGCCAGAAATCTCGCCGCCACTGCGCCCCTACAGTCCAGCCCCGCCACTCCGGCAGGCAGCAGCCCACACAGCAGGTTATAGTTTTTTTTTTTTTTTTTAATCTTAGATTATAAAAAAATTAAAGAATTAGTTTATGAGTAATTGTGTTTATGTGATCATTTTTTGAATTAATTTGTGATTTACTTTATTTGTTATTAGTTTGTAAATTTAATTGTGAATTTGTGATTTTGTGAATTATTTGGTAAATATGGTGAATGGAAGATTGAAACTTTGAAAGTAGACAAGTAGTTTGTGATTTTGTGAATTTAATTAATATGTAAATTAGTTTGTAACTTTGTGTATTGGATTAGTTTGTGATTTGGTTTTTTAGATTTTGGATGCTTATTGTTAAAAAAAATGATTATTGAATATTGAAACTTAATTTTTAAAGGAAAAATGTAATCTAATAATCCCACCTTTAGTCGATATTTCATAAACAATCCCACCTTTTGAAATTCCAGAAACAATCCCACTTTTGACATAGATCTTCCACTAACGATCCCATTGACCTACAACCTGTTAAACAAATTATTATTTTAAAAAAAAAAAAAAAACCATTCTTCTCAAGCCACCAGTCCACTACCATGGCCACCCCAACACTCACCCCTTACCACCACCCCCACCAAGCCACGCCAGAATATTCTATATCCAACCCCAAACCCAACCACAGCCCCGAAAACCCCACCCATAGCCCCAAAACACCTCACCCAGCCCTGAAACTGAACCCTCAGCCCCAAAATACTCTACCCTATCCCCAAAAATTCTACCCATAGGCCCGAAAAACGACACCCATCTTGAAAACTCAACCCCTTGAATACTCAACCCCGGCAGCCCCAATTGCCTCTCAATTCGATTTTCGGTTTGAAATTAAACGCAAATTTTGATTTCAATCATCTGAAAAAATCGAATTGAAAGGAAAATTGATGAATTTAGAGGAGAGGGAAACGTACCCAAGAGAAGAGAGAAAGAGAAGGAGAAAGAAGGGTTATAGTGCTAGAGTAGTAGCGATATGGGCTGAGGTTTTTGGGGAAGCAAGGCGGCTACTGTAGGGGTTGGATTGCCGGAGAAAGTAAGGGAGGAGATGGGGAGGGGATACGGTGGCTGGGATTGGGACGGGATATGGTGGCGGTTGAGGCTGAGGCTGGGGTTTTTGTTTTTTTTTTTTCCTTTTTTAGTTAGTTTTTTTATTATTATTATTAAATATTAAAATAAACCTATTAAAATGCGACACGTGTCTTATAACCTTAGAAACCGGTTACTAAAATAATCCAACCGGTTAGGGACTGTTATTGGAAGATGGGGGTCAAAGGTTGGATTGTTTCTGGAATTTCAAAAGGTGGGATTGTTTATGGAATGCCGACTAAAGGTGGGATTATTATATTACATTTTACCATTTTTAAATGAATTAGGATATGTCAAGTTCTTCAAGCAAGTCTAGGAAAATAGGAAAACAAGCGGATCTTCGTCAAAAGTTGTTTAAAAAATTGAAATCACAAGATAATTCTTGTTCTTCACCCACACAAAGTGAGACACCTCCTAATCATAATATGCAAAATGGAACCATTAGTATTGAACCAATTGATGTGGATGAACCAATTGACGTGAATGATGTGGATGAATCAATTGATGTGAATGATGTGGATGAAGAATTTAATGTGGATATAGAAATGGGATATTCAAGTACTAGTAATGAATCGTTTGAGGTAGAGGAAGAGGAGGAAGAAGAGGAATTGGCTTATGATGTTGAACTTCTTCCTCATGATCCGGGACTAAGAATGGACTAATGGACTATCCCCCTAATCAAAGAAATCCGGTGAGGAGAGCCTACATTCTTAAAAAACCTTGTCTACCAAAAACTCATAATTTCCCTCAAAGACAATGCTCCAGAAAGCGTTGTTTTAGTGTGAAGTGGTTTAATAAAAGAGATTGGCTTGAATATAGTATTTCAAAAGATGCCGCATTTTGTTTTGTATGTTACTTGTTCAAGCATGAAGTTGAAAATAATTATGGCGGTGATGCATTTGTTAATGGAGGATTTAGAGCATGGAATAAACCAGAGAGGTTTGATAAGCATGTTAGTGGAGTGAATAGTGCTCATAATGTTGCTTATGAGAGGTATGTGAATCTAAGAAGGGGAAAAAAAATCAATTGTCAAATATTTGACAATGCAAGTGAGGCATAGTACAAATTCAAAAATATCATATTCATTTGAAAGCATCATTAATATGTTTGAGATTTCTTTTGGGGCAAGGTTTGACATTTCGTGGGCATCTTGAAAGTGAGGAGTCATAGAATCGAGGGTAATTTCTTGAACTTTTGAAATGGCTAAGGGGAAAAGTGGCGGAAGTTAAAAATCATACTCTAGAAAATGCTCTTAAAAATTGTGTATTGACTTCTCCTAAGATTCAAAAAGACATTATAACTTGTTGTGCAAAAGAAACAACTAGGCGTATAGTAGAAGACGTTGGTGATGATTACTTTGCAATATTGGCGGATGAGTCAAGTGATGTGTCCCAAAAAGAACAATTAGCTCTTGTGTTTGCGTTTTGTTGATAGAAAAAGTGGAGCGGTAATGGAAAGATTTTTAGGCATTGTTCATGTTGGTGATACTACCGCTTTATCTTTTAAAAAATGCAATAATCTCTTTGCTTATGGAACACAACTTGAGTCCATCAATGATTAGAGGTCAAGGATATGATGGGGCTAGTAACATGAAAGGTGAAATAAATGGGCTTAAGGCTTTGATTATGAATGACACTTCTAGTGCATATTACATTCATTGTTTTGCACATCAACTTCAATTGACTCTTGTTGCCGTTGCTAAAAAAAATGATAATTGTGGTTGGGTGTTTGAGATTACTACAAACTTGTTGAATGTAATTGGGGCTTCTTGTAAAAGAAGAGAAATGATTCGAAAAAGTCAAGCTCAAAAGGTTGCTCAAGCATTGGAAATGGGGGAAATTGATAGTGGTTCGGGATTGTATCAAGAAGTTGGTTTGAAAAGACCCGGATACACGTTGGAGGTCACATTACAAATGTGTTCTTAGCATTATCTCCTTGTTTCCTACAATTGTTGAGGTACTTGTGCACATTGGCAAACATGGTTCATCGGAGGATAAATTCAAAGCTCAAATTGTGTTGGGTTCGTTAGAATCATTTGATTTTATTTTCATGGCTCACTTGATGTTGACTATTTTTTTTATACACTAATGATTTGTATATTGCTTTGCAAAGAAAAGAACAAGATATTGTTAATACCATGAGACTTGTTTCTTCTACAATGAAAGTGTTACAAAAAATGAGGGAACAAGGTTGGGATATTCTCTTGAAAAAAGTAACTTCATTTTGCAATAAACACAAAATTGATGTTCCTAATATGGAAGCTAATTATGTTCCACATGGAAGATCAAGGAGTTTTGTTGAGAAAGCTACAAATGAACATCATTTTCGTGTTGGAATTTTCTTGGAAGTGATTGATTTGTATCTTCAAGAACTTGATAATCGGTTTGATGAGAAGAACATGGAGCTACTTACTTGCATGTCTAGCTTAAGTCCTAAGTATAACTTTTCATCCTTTGACAAAGAAAAGGTACAAAAGCTAATCTCATATATAAAAGATACTTGTCTTATTGTTATTATATATTAATACTTGTCTTATTGTTATTATATATTAATACTTGTCCATTTTTCTTACAAGGTGCTTGCTTCTTTGTACCCCGAAGACTTTTCACATAATGAGTTGTTGAGTTTTGATGATCAACTTGAAGTGTTCAAGCAAGTCATGTTAGATGATGGAAATTTTTGAGATTTGCATGACATTAATTCTCTTTCAAAGATGCTTGTCAAAACCAAGTTGCATGAGACTTATCCTCTTATTTATTTGCTTATCAAGTTAATGTTGATTTTTCCCGTTGCTACGACAAGTGTTGAAAGAGTCTTTTCGGCAATGACATATATCAAAAATAAATTGAGAAATAGTATGGGTGATCAACTTATGAATGATTGTTTAGTTACTTTCATTGAGAAAGAAGTGTTTTACAAGTCCCCGATGAAGATATCATTGATCGATTTCAAAGAATGAAGACTCGGAGGATATTTTAGTAGTAAATGGATTTTGGGATTGTAACTTTTTAGTACTAAACAAGTATGTACCCGAACTTTTTGTATATTGTACCCGTTTTTTAAAAACAGGTTTATGTTAGTTGAATTATCGAAATTGTTCCCCCTTTGTCAAATTTCTAGGTCCGCCACTGTCCGGATCGCCCATCTTCAGCGACCTCCTCCACCACCAGACTACCCTCCCTTTCCCCCTGATTACATCCCAACAACCATCTCCTTGATTTTGAAAAACCCTAGAAAATTGATTTGGGGGTTTTAAATTTTGTGCATATTTCTTGCAATTGATGCTTGTTTTGGCTTTGATTATGTAAGTATGTGATGCTAGGGTATTTAGAAACAAATTGGACTTGATTTGGATTTGATTTGAGCATGTTTAAGAATATAAGATCCAAAAATTCGAAGGGAGGTGGTGGTCGCCAACAGAGATAAGGGGGAAAGGGATGGTCCACCGGCGGTGAAGGTAGGTTGTCGGAGGTGAGGGGATCTGGGCGGTGGATCTGGTGGGTGAGGGGTTGCTTCAAAGGGAGGGTGAAAGGGAGGAAGAAGGGGAATGGTGGTTGGTTGGTAGTTAGGGTGGTGGTTTATTTTAATGTATAAATCATATAACTAATATATAAAGCTAACTATTAGCCAGACGAAGAGGTAGTGACACTTGGTGTTCCAACTTTTCGCCAAGTGTCGTGTCACGTAGGATAGACTTATATAAAATTCAATTTGTAGGATAAAAAAGTTAGTTTATAATTTTATTTCAATTAAATTTGGATAGAATTTTAGGATAAAATTGTTAATTTAGAGTTTTATTTTTGATAAAATACCAATATTTTTATCATAGAATTTTATTTTTTAATAAAGTACAAATTGAATTATAATTTTATTGAAAAAATAATTAGATTATAACACTCATAACTTATCATATAAATTTATTTTTTGTATCATAATATTTTTCTAGAGCGAAGGAATTAGTTCAAAATGTACCATATCCATTATTTATAATATATTCTAATCAATTAAAATTAATATACTTCACAGTCTAATATAATTTTATTATTGTATGTAGACCTGTAAATCAGGTCGGGTTACCATTCATTTTAGGCAGGGTCATTATTTTAGGTTACGGGTCAAGAAATATTTTTCACCAATATTATTATTATTAGTCATTACATGTCTACAAGTTTAAATCATCACAAAAACACATCAATTCCTAACTAATTTTGTATCAATAATATGTTTTAAAATTTGACATATAGATTAAAAATATATCTTAAAATTCAATAAATAACCCGGGCATCGCACGAGCACAAAACTAGTTAAATATAATTATTAAGGGCTTGTTTGGCATCATTTTTGGTTTTCAGTATCCTGTTTTTTTGAAAATCAAAAACCAAAAACAGGAAACAAGAAAAAGGTGTTTCCACTTTCCTGTTGTCAGTTTTCAAAATTATTATATTAATATGTTTAAATAATTTTTGATTCATTATGGAACATATATCCTATACTTTTAAAAAACAAAAACCAAAAAATAGAAAATCACAACAATGTCTAACGAACCCTAAATAATTGGGTGAATTAGTAATTAATTAGAAAAAATGGGAGAAAATTAGAGTCTAATTAAGTTAATTAAAGGATAATTAAGGAAATAGGTTTTTTTTTTTTAAAAAAAAAGAACGTGGTGATTTTTTTAACCAAAAATCTTTTAAAATGTTTTTTTTTTTTTTTTCTTAAACCCTGTTTCTCCTGTTCACTCTCTCTTTAAAAACTCATTGATCGATTCAACCATGAAATCAAACTAATAATCCCTCTACACTTTCATTTCTTACTCAAATTTCTCACTTGCATTCTTGGTACAATCTCTCATTTCCAAAACTCCAATCAATCTCCGAAATGCTAAGAAAACGACTTCAATCATTCTTTTCCACTTCAATCCGCTCTTTCTCCAACCCCAACATCCCCTCTTTTCCTACTAAATCCGCAATACCCATCTCAAATTTTTTCTTGAAAAGCTCAAATTCTTCGAATATTTGCTCAAATGGAGCGTTTTGGGGAAATGGGTATTCAACTACGAGGTCATTTAGTAGTTTATTAAGCTTGAATGATCTGAGAGATAACCCAGGTGCAACAAAGCAGAAGAAGAGGAAAGGTCGTGGTATTGGGTCTGGTTTGGGGAAGACTGCTGGGCGTGGTCATAAGGGTCAGAAGGCTCGTGGGACGATGAAGTTTGGGTTCGAAGGTGGTCAAACCCCGTTGCGCCGCCGCCTTCCCAAACGAGGGTTTAAGAACCCCTTTAGCCTCACTTTTCAGGTGATGTGAGTTTCAACCATTTCTTTAAAATTGTGTTCTAATTGGGTTTATTTGGTTATGCTGGATCTGGGTTTTGCTTTCTTTTAAATTATTGTTGAATCTTACTGTATGACTTTTGTTTGGTTTGAGAAATGAGAGGGAATTTTGGAATGTAAAAATTTTACTTAGAGATTAAGCATTTGCGAGGTTTTAATGATATTCGAGTTCGAATGTGATTGCCGCTTAAGCATGTCAAAATGTTTGTAAGCTGATAAATTGTGATGGAATGGAAGCTATATATCATATGCCTTTGATTGGAGTGGCAATCTTTGTTTTTATCTATTGCCATTATCATTGCATTCGGTTTTATCATGTGCTCGCAAAGTAGAATGTAGCTAGGACACCTTGTGTGTGCAACTAAAAATGTCAGTGGGTTTCTCTGTTGTGACTCATTAAATTCCAATATTGAGTAGGACTATCCCAGTGCTGAATGTTCATCCAATTAATTTGAGTTTTTGTTACTGTTTTCATGTGAAAGCCATATATTGGCAAGTAACAATGTAATATGATTTGTATGGCTGAATTGTCATTTTTGTAATTTCTTGGAACCTGATAATGTTGAAGTTTTCTTTGTCGACTTGCTAATGTTCAGGATAGGGATTGAACCCTTTAGAAGTTGGAGGGAGGGGTTCATAATCAAGTAATTGTTTTGTTAAGTCTTCGGTTATAGAATAGAACATTTCAATCAATAGTAAACAAAGGTTTGATAAATGTTTATATTGTTATAATAAATACTAAGGTGGTGTAAATGTTAAATTAGTAGAACTATGATTTTCTATAAAGATGGGATCTTTGTGGAATTGTTTTTACTCTACATCAATTGGCTTTTGGAGAACATTGAAGAACATTTGAGAGTATGATCAAAATAATTGAGTCTATGGAGTTTGGTAGTTTTCATCACTGTTCATATTTTTAGACATTAGAATCTTTTGGAGTACACTTGACCTTGATGCCTAGCCATTTTGAATCTACAAAATATAGATCAATAGACTGAAAACAGGGCAAAAATTGCTGATAATGGACACCATCACAGTCATTTTCTGTCAGTTAAGTGGTTGTAATGTTGGTATGATCTTTTGAATCGATCATGTAACATGATTACATAGTTTAGCATTGCCAAGTTCATCGATCTTTGCTGAAGATTGATATAAAACACTTCTTATAAATTAGAACTAGCAGTTTGCAATTGCATGGGGATTACGGTTTGTAGGATAATGGAGAAGGACAGTAATTGATGTTGATTTTTCCCTGTTTTGTGAATGACACCAATGCTGAGAATGTAGATTTAGTATTGTTCTTGAATATACAGAAAGACATAGCTTTCAAGTGTGTTTCTAGAAGACTACCTTTCTTACTTATTATAGCTATTACATTTAAATTATATATATATATATATATATATATATATATATATATATATATATATATATATATATATATATTAGAAATTATGTGAAACAAACTTTTGAGACAGACATATCTTAGGCATCCATTATTTTCTCAAATGGAGATGTGCCTGAGGGGTGAATTGAGGGGCAACCGGCCAGAGCCCCAAGAGGAAGGGGTCCCAAAACTCAATATCATGTACGTACTTCATATACAAATTATGGTACTTTATAATCAATGCCTACAACAGCTCAGTTGGTTACTTGGATATAGGCCAAAACTGTAAATTTTGCAAGGGTTTGCATCTTATTGTGGAAAATTTCTTCAGCTATCTTGTTTTATAAAAAATTATTTTTGCTTGAAAACTTTGACATTTTACTCATATTCCCATATTACTATTATTTGCTTGAACAAATTAATAATTTTTCTAATATAATTCCAAAATAGATTTAATTTTTTCCTCCTTTTTTTATTTATTTTTTTATAACTTAAGAACTTTAAATTTCTACTTGAAGGTTATGTTCTCTTTATTTTGGTGTTGCTAAACTCAAATTACTTTTACTACGAAGTATTAAAACTTAACCCACCTAATAGTATATATTAAATACATAACATTATTGTTTCACCTATGGGTGCCCCTATATAAGTTTCGCTCCTGGCCTATAATATATCAGGAATGGCCCTTGATGTGCTTATGAAGATGAGTTTACTTGGATGCGTAAAAAATAGTGAGGAGAGTTTTGGTTCTATTCATTGCCATTGCCTTATGCGGCCGGCCCCAATAAAAGTATCCATGTTTAGCCACTATCTCCAAATTAAACATTTACAAAACGGGACAGCAGACAAGCTGGCTAAAAAAAACAATGAATACACTTGTTGAATTTTTTAAAGATTTTTAGTATGTTGTTATAATATCAATAAATGTGTAATTCAAAATAAAAAGGGAAATTTCATATTTCTTTTAAATATAATAATACTTATAAGCAAAGTGGGAAAAACAGAGGGACAGAGGAGTGGATTGCAGGCTTGCAGCAGACTAGCAGCTGCTTCCATCCCTTTGTATTATCAACTCGCCTGTTGCCATTCCAATTTCTGACCTCTTGCCACATCAGTTGTATTGTGAACTGGAATTTCCTTATTCCCATGAAATGTGCCTCTATAGGTTGCTAGATACAACTTGTATAATAATAGAGCAATGATGTTATGAACCAATAATGTCTTGATGAAATTTGTATATATATGATTATATGACTTGGTATATCATGTGGATATCACTTATTTGTCTGCTTGATTGTTTAAACCTTGATTATTTTGAATTGCTTAATTTTTATTAGATGGTATTATGGACCTAGAATTCCACATTAACTATATGAAGCTGTAGATTCTTAATGTTAACTTCTTTTAAAATATTTCTGGTGTCTTTGTGGCAGCCAGTAGGGTTGGGAAAGATTGCAAAGCTTATAAATATGGGAAAAATTGATTCATCTGAGTTGATCACAATGAAAACTCTCAAGGTTCGTATGCTCTATTCTTATCCCTACTGTTGATTCTCATTGGCTTTACATTTAAAGCATTTGCTTCCAATAGGAGGCTGGAGCTATTGGGAAGCAGATAGAGGATGGAGTGAGACTGATGGGACGTGGTTCAGAACAAATAATATGGCCGATCCATCTTGAGGTAAATTTCTGTTAGATGATATTAACTAAAGAATGCTGTTTCTGCAGTACTCCTATCTGCCTACCCTTTCTGCATCATTCTTCACCTGCATTGAGAAATTTGCAAGTCCAATTTGTGCCAGCTATATAGATTTACATGTTTATTAAACCTTATTGGGAGGACATTCTAATATATAAGACCAAATGTTATCTAATATAATAAACTTATACCAAGGTTATTTCTAAGTGTTAAATCGTGCCACCTAAGCTTTCATTTAAGAAAAAAAAAATGCGTAGATAATTTTAATATCATTTATTATGATAAAAGATTTTAAATATGGAGTTTCATCCTAGTGATAGTACCCATAATCAGCTATAACTTCTATAATCATTCGATTAATATAGAAAACTGAAAAGTACTCCGTATTTTACGACTAGATCCATTTATAACATTGTAATTTAATGTTACTTTAGGTTTTGTTTACTTAAAATCAATACCAAACAATTTTAGATTAATAAGATATATTTTAGATCCATTTATAACATTGTAATTTAATGTGTATTTATATATACTATTAATACAACTAGTTTGTGTAATGATAAATTGTTACCAGTGAAATCAAATTAAATATGATTAGTAATTAGTTAATATGACATTACAGTTTGTTTATTCCTAAAAAACTAACATAATAGAGTTTTAAGGGGTAATAAAGTAATAAACGACTTCGTATTAGTCTACATAAACTTAACCAATTTTGAATATAACAATAAGTGTAACTCCCTCGAAATTATTTTACCCACATTTTTGTTATTATACCCCCCCAATTACACATCTCTTTTTTTCTTGATCATATTTTGCTATTTTTCCCTCTTTATCAGAATAATCACAAAAGTCAATAGTTTTACTGTTAACCACATAACTCAACAGTTAATGGAATGGTTTCAAATGTGCTGCTTTGGTGAATTCCTGTTATAAGTATGTAACTTAAGTTCATGGAATGGTTTCAAATGTGCTTTTGTAAATTCCTATTATAAGTATCTAACTTTAGTATAGGTAATTTATTTTTATTTTTTACCAAAATAAAATTCTAGCTGTTACAAAATTGATAATACTCCATCTGTTTGCTCAACTCACTTTTTGATTTGGGTTGTTTTATAAAGTTCGATTTACTTGTATATATATATTCATTTTTGGCTAACCCCTTTACCACCTTACTCAGCTTACCCTTCACTATTTTTTACCTTTCTACTTACACTTTCTAGTTTACTCGCCTTTCTCTTACATCCACTTATTTTTTTCAAACTTTCCCAGAAACAAGAATCTACACTAAGTGAGTCGAACTTTGACCATTTTGATTCAAATATCAAAATGAAAATCAAAGTAACCAATATTTGGTGGCATAGTTAGACATGCTCAAGTAATTTTTAGCTTTTTATACCAGTAGGTTCGTTTAAGAATCACCTTAACATTGGATCAATAATTATAATGATCAGTTTTCACTGTTAGTATCACATATACTCATCTAGGCTGAATTGAAAATATGTTACAAAAAGAGGATGGTATAATTAATTATGCAATTTCACTTTCTTTTCCAAAAGGTCATAATTGTTGTTGATGTAACAACTTGGGGCAATGATCTGGGCCATCAACTAGTTTAAATTTATTTTGTATTTGTCTAAATGTGTATATTTAAGCACTTAAAAATGGTTAGATATGCTAATGTTCTAAGAATATTTCCTAAATTTGCTAGTGTGAAAGCTAATACAGAACAAATTAAAAAAAAAAAACAACAGAGAGATTATTCTTGAATTTCAACATTTCAAGATAATCTATATAATAATCAGATATTGAGCAATCCCTTTTGGATGTGCCAAAACTAGTAATTCACAATCAAACTAACTCAAGCTTGTTAACACTGTTTAAGATTTCACTCTTAAGTAAACACTTTGGTTGAATATGCTGCTGCAGGTGTCTAGGGTGACAGTAAGAGCAAAAGCTGCTGTGGAGGCTGCTGGAGGATCTGTGAGGAAAGTGCATTACAATAAGTTGGGCTTGAAAGCATTGCTTAAGCCTGAGTGGTTTGCCAAGAAAGGAAGGCTGCTCCCAAAAGCAGCACGGCCTCCACCAAAACTTGCAGATAAAGTTGACAGTATTGGGCGTTTACCTGCCCCAACAAAACCGATACCTTTTGTTGTCAATGAAAACGTGGCAGCTGCTCCCTCACCTTGCTGAAGACCAAAGTCACAAACTGTATTTCTTTTGGTTCAGTTGAGAACAACAAGTTAGCAATTATAAATCGGTCAAAATATGATTCATGGTCCTGTTTTATTCTCTTCTAGCCATTTTTTTTTTGTTTTCTCAAATGGTTTCTTTTTATGGACCGTTGATACTCTGTTAAATTGGCAGCTGATTTCTCATATACGAGTCAGGGTATCCCTTACAGAAGAATAAGTCTTTTTGAAGTATAACTAGATAAAGAAGTGGAACGATCTTATTCATGAATCAGATATGGAACAATGTGATGGTCAATTTCTATTTGATTATGATTGTCCTTTAGTAGTTTGAGTGTTTGACCAACAAGTGTGGCATATAACCCCTTCTTTATAATCATGTGAGCTCAACCAAGGAGCACCAACAAAGATGATATATGGTCCTTCCTGCAGAGTAGGAATACCACACAGATTAGTTTAAACACTGCCAAATTAAATATCTATCTATAGTAATATCTATACTCCTATATAAAGAGAAAGAGTCTTTTGGGTGGTAAATTTGTCTTTCCCCAAAATGTCCTTCTCAATTTACAAAATTACTTTTTCACTAATTAATTAAAAAAATTCATAACTACTCACAAAAGAAAAAAAAAAAATTCTTTTAGATAAAATAATAAAAAAAACTAACTACTTACAAACCAAAATTACTATCACTAACAACAAACCAAAATTATCTACTTTCCCACAAACCACGTTTACTTCTTTTATTTATTTATTTATTTATTTTTATTGAAATAACCATGTTAAACTTTGTTAGAAGATAACTGTATCATAATTTTATTAAAATAAGAAAATTAATACCAATATAGTCCCTAAAAAAAATCTAATATAGGCAACATATACCACATTCATCTATGTTACCAAAAAAAAAAAAAAATTTTTAAAAAAATAAAAGGAAAAATTTTACATCTATCTAATCTATACACGTACTATTGTCGTAGATGTTTAATCTATAGTTTTCAATCTTTTATATAAAAAACTCAACAATCAACAATATTTTTTAAGGTTAATTAAGGTATACGAAGTGGAGTAAATGTGTCGTTGATAATTTATTTTTTTCGTTCTTAAATGTAAAGTTATGTAAGTATTGATTTAAAAAAAAAATCTATAATAACAATTTTATGAGTAAAATAAAAGATTTCCTATATTATACACGCGTAGCGTGTGTCTCATAGCTTGTACTAGTATAAAGAGAGGGGGTTTTGAGTGATAAATTTCACTTTTCAAAATTACTCCTCTTAAATTGCATAATTACATTCTATTGAGTATAAAGTGAAAGGGGGTTTTGAGTGATAAATTGCATAAATACCAATATAGCATGAATTGTTGAAGATATGAGTATTAACGTGTAATTCATAGTACAACAGAGTAGTTTAATTGTTCACTTGATTAATTTATTGAGTTTTGGTTATGGTGCATGTTTGTGAAAATTATGGTCCTCAGGGTTACTGATATGAGCACAAGAATGAATATGATTCACATTGCAATATTGGAGGCAGTTGCTGAGCTGAATGATGGAATGGGCAATGCTGAGCTGGATAAGTATGAGAATCCGTTATTTTGGGAAGAGGGAAAAGGGAGTGTATGAGAGAATATTGTTGTAACAGATTATATTCTCTAAGTTGTTACTTCTTGCTTAGCTGTAATTAAGTGAGCTGATTATATAAGCCACACCTTGGTAATGTTATGATTATGCATTAATGAAATACAACCTTCCCTCTTAATCTCTCTCTCTCTCTCTCTCTCTCTCTCCCTCTCTAAATTCTTCTGTTATCTCCATTGGTGAACCTCTCGAAGGATCCTTTCTTAATCTGGAATTCTTCTTAGCTCATCATTCCTGATACTCATATCTATTAAGGGATTGGATCAAGATTTCTATCGGTCAATCCGTATCATTGGTATGAGAGCTTGGCCTGTTCCTCGGCCAAGATGCCTCCTAAGAAGAACACTGAGCAGAGGAGGTTGAAGCAGCATCTGCTGCAGATCTTCAGAAGCTGGAAGCAACTCTGAAGAGCTTGCTGGAAGATCAGAGTAAGACCTTCACTGAGAACTATGCTCATAACAATGCTAGTATTGCGCAAAATACTAAATCCATTGCTGAACTTAATGATATGTTGCTAGGATTATCTGTACAAATAACTAAATTAGTTGCAGATAAGAGCAAAACTAATGATGATTTAGTAATTTTGGGAAATGGCAATGACAAATCTGGTGATAAATCTGGGGAAAGGAGTAAATCAAACAATTACTATTTCACCAGGTTAACTAAAATTGAATTTCCAAAGTTCAATGGGGATGATTTGAAATCATGGTTATACAAGTGCAACCAATTTTTCGAACTTGATGATATTGAAGATGATAAGAATCTTAAGCTTGCTGCTATTCATCTAGGAGGAAGGGCATTGTTATGGCACCAGAACTATGTTAAAATTAACTCACCTAGAACTTGGGATCAATATGTTCATGACATAACCAATAGATTTGGTGATTTGTATGATGACCCCATGGCTGAGTTGAAAGCTCTAAAAAGACTTGTTATGTACAAGAGTATCATGATGCTTTTGATGGTATTGCTAGCAGATTGAGTATGTCTAAGGAGTATTTGCTGAGCTGTTATTTGGGAGGAATGGAGGAAGAAACCCAACTCTCAGTAAGAATTTTTAACCCAACCACTCTGCAACAGGCTCATTGCTTAGCCAAATTGCAGAAAGCCACTCTTAAAGCCAAAAACACCAAAACACAACCCAAATCCCTACCACCTCTTTACCTACCCCAAAACACATCCTACCCCAGCCTAGAATTTCACAACCATGGAGAAATAACCCACAAAATACATATAGACCAAACACAAACAGAAAAACCCTCACTGCAGGTGAAATGAGTGAGAAAAGATGTAAGAACCTTTGCTACTGGTGTAATGAAAAATTTGAGCCTGGGTATAGGTGTAAGGGAAAGAAACCCCAGGTGCTTCACATTGAAGTAGAGGATGAATTGGAGGAGGAAAAGGAAATGAATGAGCAGTTGGAAGCTAATGGCAGTACTGATGGGATAGATGACCCTAGAATTTCTTTGCAAGCTTTGGATGGGAACTGTCGTTTTCACACTATGAGGATGAGAGGGAAGCATGGCAAACATCCTTTGCATATCTTGCTTGATAGTGGAAGTACACATAATTTTGTAGACACCACTACTGCTCTGAAGCTTGGGTGTAAGGTGGAGCAAGTTACTCCCATGTAGGTGAAAGTAGCTGATGGTGGACAAATCAAATGTGATGTTGTAACTAGAAATTTTACTTGAAAAATGCAGGGTTATATGTTCAAGGCAGACATGTTGTTGCTGCCATCGAGTGGTAGTATTGTAGTATTATGGGATTCAATGGTTTTCCATTCTAGGACCCATATTATGGGATTTTAAGAATCTCATGTTCAAGTATGATTGGAAGAAGGTGAAGCTTAGAGGTTAAATTGTGAAGGGAATCAGAGAAATTGACTCTGACCAACTGAACAAAATTATGCAGCAGACAGGTGAATTGTCCATGTTATAGGTGGTACAATCCACCAATGATTGGACACCTAAGCTGCAGGACCAGAATGCTGTACCTGAGGATATTCAGATGCTGTTAACCTCTTATCCTGAGGTTTTTCAAGCAATTGAAGGGCTTCCCCCAATCAGAGAGCAGTTTGATCATAAAATACCTTTGAAAGAGGGTACTAATTCTATCAATATTAGACCCTATAGATATCCTGTCACTCAAAAGAATGTGATTGATGAACTGGTTCAGGAACTGATAGATCAAGGCATGATCAGAAATAGCAAAAGCTCATTTGCAGCACCAGTTGTTCTAGTTAAGAAGAAACATGGGGGACGGAGGATGTGTGTGGACTACAGGGCTTTGAATAAAGCTACTATAAAGGACAAATTCCCTATTCCAATTATAGATGAATTACTTGATGAGTTGCAAGGATCTGCTTTCTTTTCTAAAATTGATCTCAAGTCTGGTTACCACCAGATCAGAATGAATCAAGATGATATTCACAAAACAGCCGTTAAGACACACTTTAGGCATTTTGAGTACTTAGTTATGCCTTTTGGCTTGACTAATGCTCCCTCTACATCTACATTCCAGTCTATCATGAATCAAGTATTCAAGCAGTATTTGAGGAAATTCATACTAGTTTTCTTTGATGATATCTTGATATATAGTTCTTCTTGGGAACAACACTTGTATCACTTACAATTGGTAATAGGAATCATGAAAGTTAACTCTCTCCATGAAAAATTGAAAAAGTATACTTTTGGAGTAACTCAAGTGAATTACTTGGGTCATATTATCTCAAGGGAAGGGGTTACTACAAAACCAGAGAAAATTCAAGCCATCCTAGATTGGCCAATTCCCAAGAATTTGAAGCAATTAAGGGGATTTTTGGGATTGACTGGTATTATAGAAGGTTTGTGAGAGATTATGGTAAGATATGTAGGCCACTTACCAATCTCCTGAGAAAGGATGCTTTATCTTGGACAGAAGAAGCTACTACAACTTTTGATCAACTGAAGAAAGCCATGACAACTCCACCTGTCCGGGCACATCCAGATTTTCAGCAGCCCTTTGTTATTGAAACTGATGCATCTGGCACGGGTATTGGTGCAGTGCTAATGAAGGGAGGGCACCCAATTGCCTTTATAAGAAAGTCATTGACAGAAAAGAACTTGTATCTTCCTTCTTATGAAAGGGAACTGTTAGCCATAGTATTTGCAGTCAAGAAATGGTAGCATTATCATATGATATTTCCTTTTGTGATAAGAATTGATTAACAAAGCCTCAAAAATCTCATTGATCAATAGATAGCCATACCCTTCTAGCAAAAATGGCTATATAAACTAGCAGGACTGACTTACACTATTGAGTACAAGCAAGGAGCTGAGAATAAAGTGGCTGATGCTTTACCTAGGGTCAGTGAGGCTCAATTAATGAATATGGTGGTTTCCACCATTCATGTTGATTTACTGGAAGAAATTCAGAAATCTTGGTAGGATGATCCAAATGTCAAAAAGATAATTGAAGATTTGGAAAGAGATCCTCAGTCATTCAAACAATTCAAGTGGCAAAATGAGCAACTGAAAAAGAATGGAATATTGGTAGTGGGTTACAATGCTGACTTGAGAAAGAAAATTTTGCTCTGGTTACATAGCTCTGCTGTGGGTGGATATTCTGGAATTGAAGCTACTTTGAGAAGAGTTAAGTGTATCTTCTATTGGTCTAGACTCAAACA